AAGAAGCTGAGATTACAGGTGCCCGCCACCATGCCCAGCTTCTTTTTTGTATTTTTAGGAGATTTTTACCAACGGGGTTTTACCACGCTGGCCAGGCTGTTCTCGAACTCCTGACCTCATGACTTGCCTGCCTCGGCCTTCCAAAATGCTGGGATTACAGGCGTGAGCCACCGTGTCCGGCCACCAACATCATTTCTTAGCTGACACATAGTGTCATCTTTGTCATATTATAAGTTCTTGCTTGTGTTTGGTTCTGGAACTGATATTCATTGACCTGTTTTGTCCCTAGTTTGCCTTTGCTTTTTGGTTATTTGACAAACTCATACTCACCTTCTCAAAGCCATGCCTTCCTTAATGTCCCCTAAGCAGAAATGATTATTCTCTTCATATGCTTCCATCTAAGTCTGAGTATTCTTCGAGTAAATGCATATAAAATAGCATATTACTGACCCTAAGACCTGGAGGCAAGTAGGATGAATATCAAGACCTTAAAGGCTCTTGGGCCCTCACCTCTGTACCCCAGGAGACTCTTGGGACTCAGCAGAGCCAACTGTCATTCATACTGAATTAGGGGATTTCTTAAATGGTTTGCTAGTTTTCTTGCATAGGCTGTTGTAATGGCAAACTGCATGTGTACCACCTGTCTGCCAGGCCCCCTTATGGGCATAGCATTGCACTGGCCATTAGGAAGCCCTGTCTCTGCCTCCTATGTTTAGAGACAATGAGAAACACCTGTTATTATCTTTGATCTTGTGATTTACCCCTATCTTAAACTGATTCCCATTTAGACTTGCTTTTAGGGGGAAGTTTTGGTTTCTTCTCACTCTTCACTAAATGGTAATGGTCACCACACACTGTAGACCATCACCTATATTTCTGAGCAACACAGTTACAGGAGCCAAGCACTGTTGTCAGATTGAAGAAAATAGTCTACTTCCTTTTCTGGAGAAAACATCAACATTATATGGCAGGCTGGACATTCACATGAGAAAGAATAATGACACACAGACCAAAGTGTATAACACACAGATAAAACTGTTGTCTTGTTGAGCTAGGAAATGCAAGTGAACCTGGTAGTATAATAGGGTATTATAAGTTTGGCATTTAACATATGCAGATTAGGAGGTAGTGTGGTATTTACTCACTCATTTATGTATTCAACAAATATTTCTTAGTACACACAATGTCTCTAGCTAGGCATTTGGTAGATCCAAGTTGAGCCGAAAAATCTTGGAACTGATGGTGAGAAGGCTTGAGTTCTAGTTCTGGCCCCACCCACTACCTAGTGATAAGATTCTAGACAAGCCATTTGAGTTTCTGGGCTCTCTCTCCTCAGGCTAAAATAGGAGATTTGGAATAAATTGTTTTCTAAAACCTCCCCCAGCCTAAATAGCATGCAATGTAATGAGTTTGATGTCTCCCACGATATACCAACATAATAAAAATAACTATTTTCATCTATATATGCTTATTATATGGTAGTTTGTATACACGTTCCATTTCTAATCCTTCCAACAGCTCAGATGAAGAAATTGAAGCTAAGTTACCTGTTTAAGTCACTAAGTAACATGCTTAAGACCGCAGAACTAGTAACTCAAAGAACTGGGATTTGAGTTCAGGCATCTCTGGCTCCAAAGCCCTAATCTATTCACTCAATAATATTCTGCCCTTCACATAGTCTTTGATGCAGAATGTCTTCATTATCTTAGGTCAGTCTACAGGCCTCTTTGTGAATATTCATCATCAGCAGCAGACAACAGGCCTCTCCTGCTTTCCCTCCTTGCCTCTCTGAATACCGAGCACAGGCATGATAGAGGCGACTGTACCTGAGCATCAGGAGAGCGACAAGCAGGAGCAGCACCACAGCTCCGGTGAGGGTGAAGACTGCAATCATCAGGATCTGAGGGCCTGTGGAGGAAAATGCGTTAAGAAGCACCTTTGTCAAGAGAGCAAAGGCATTTCCAAGATTCTAGCTGTACAATGTAATTTGGGGACGGGAAAAGAGAACCCTTTAAAAAAATTGATCTTTTAGCCCGGCGCGGTGGCTCACACCTGTAATCCCAGCACTTTGGGAGGCTGAGGCAGGTGGATCACGAGGTCAGGAGATCAAGACTATCCTGGCTAACACGATGAACCCCTGTCGCTACTAAAAATACAAAAAATTAGCCGGGCATGGTGACGGGCGCCTGTAGTCCCAGCTACTCGGGAGGTTGAGGCAGGAGAACGACGTGAACCCGGGAAACGGAGCTTGCAGTGAGCTGAGATTGAGCCACTGTACTCCAGCCTGGGCGACAGAGCGAGACTCTGTCTCAAAAAAAAAAAATTATCTTTCATTAATTTCTCTCTGGTAATGTAAGTCCCGTGTCTCTACTCTCTGAACAGTCAGGGAAAGTGGCTTAATTTTGGCTATTCTGACAGCATATACATCTCTATTCTTTCTAACAGCAATCACCAAATGTTACACAAACATAAAATAGTTCACAGCACACAAAAAAATGTTGGTGCTAGAAGTCTACCTGGTGTCCTTGAAACCAATATACCTAAGAAGGGTTCATAGAGGATGAGACATATTTTTGTTTTTGTTTTTTTTCTTTTTGAGACGGAGTCTCACTGTCACCCAGGCTGGAGTGCAGTGGTGCAATCTTGGCTCACTGCAACCCCTGCCTCCCTGGTTCAAGTAAGTCTCCTGCTTCAGCCTCCAGAGTAGCTGGGATTACAGGTGTGCGCCACCATGCCAAGCTAATTTTTATATTTTTTGTAGAAATGGGGTTTCGCCATGTTGCTGGTCATGAACTCCTGGCCTCAAGTGATCTGCCCGCCTCAGTCTCCCAAAGTGCTGGGATTACAGGCGTGAGCCACCACACCCAACTGAGACAACTTGTTTTTAAATACAGAGCACACACCGGAAGAAAAGTCAGTCAGTATAGAACATTAAGTGACAGTGTTGCATGCCAGTTCTTTCTAAGCTCTCCTGGGTTAGTGAGGGAAGTCAATGAAGAATGGGATTTTATTTACTAGAACGCTAGTGTGTGGGTGGAGTTGTATAGATGGAGTAAGCTGACAGACTGTCAGAAGAGTAAGTGGAATCCAGGAAAATGTGGATCCAACCCAAGGAAGCACTGAAGCAGTGTCTGAGTATGCAAAAGAATACTCCTACACAGAGAAGGACAGCAACAATAAGACCGCATGGGAAAGTCGTGGTTCATATATGCCGCAATGAATCCCTATTAGGAAGTCAGTAGGCTCAAGAACTAAAAACGGAATAGATTCCAAGCAATAGACAGAATGTGGAAGAAGCTGGGAAATGATTAGGAATATGATGAAGAAGACATGTTTCTTTATACAGCAAGGAAAGAAAAGAGAAACCCAATCAGGAATTTTAAGGAAAAAATGTTCCTGGAAGGCATAGTCCAAAAATGAAACAAAGTAAAATGTGCCCTGACTTTGAGAATTAGGTATTTAAAAAGGAGAGAAAATCAATTTTCCTTTGTGGTACAAAAGGGAGACATTGGGGCTATATAGAAAGATGTTGGCCGGGCATGGTGGCTCATACTTGTAATCCCAGCACTTTGCGGGGCTGAGGGGCAGATCACCTGAAGTCAAGAGTTCAAGACCAGCCTGGCCAACATGGCAAAACCCTGTCTCTACTAAAAAAACAAAAAATTATCTGGGTGTGGTGGGTGCCTGTAATCCCAGCTGTTTGGGAGGCTGAAGCAGGAGAATCACTTGAACCCAGGGGGTGGAGGTTGCAGTGAGCCAAGATTGTGCCACTGCACTCCAGGAGACACAATGAGACTCCATCTCAAAAAAAAAAAAAAAAAAAAAAAAAAAAAAAAAAAGAAAGATGTTATTATGTATACACAATGAAAATGTTTCCTTGTTTTCAACTTATAGAATCAAGTTATAGGTAAAGAACAGAGGTCTTTATTTTGGTTACCAAATAAATATTATCAACCCTGGCAAAGACAAAATATAGGAGAAGTTTGGAGATGGGAAGGAGGTAGAAGAAAGAATTGTGGCACTAACATCTTCATCTTACAAAGTGGGAGGCAAGATATTTTATATACAACTGATAGGACAACACTAGAAGCTCACGCATATTAATTAAAATGAAAAAGGTGTTCAATAATCGTACTGACAAAAAAGATATAACTATATGGGAAGAAGTGAGAAAGAGGGCTAGCGAAGATGAGCTAAATCTTCATGTATCAATACAAAAAATTAATAGATAACTGCTAAAGCTTATACATCAAGAAATAGAAGCATCTTATTTAGATATGCAAAACACTAAAAGCAGAAATGACTGAGAGAGCGGAGATGCGCAGAGGTGGGATCAGGCACATTCACTTTCCATTGGGAACACATCTGCTACTGGATTTTAAAATCATGTGTGTGAATTTTTCTTTTTCTGAGACAGAGTTTCGCTCTTTTTGCCCAGGCTGGAGTGCAATGGCACGATCTTGGCTCACTGCAACCTTCGCTCCCCTAGGTTCAAATTCTCCTACGTCAGCCTCCCAAGTAGCTGGGATTACAGGCACATGCCACCACATCCAGCTAATTTTTTGTATTTTTAGTAGAGGTGGGGTTTCACCACGTTGGCCAGGCTGGTCTCAAATTCCTGACCTCAGGTGATATGCCCACCTTGGTCTCCCAAAGTGCTGGGATTACAGGCGTGAGCCACCGTGCCCAGGCATATGTGAATTTTTCTGTGCTAAAATATAATGGATGTAGGTGCCCCTGAAAAGGAGGTATTAGGATCTCTTTATGAAAGCAGCATCCTAAACGCTCACGCTGTATTCTCTATCATGGCACCGTAATCTAAACTCCTGGGGGTACAGGCCATGTCCTACTTATTCATTCCTGTTCATCCTTATACCTTTGGCACCCAGCACGAGACCTGGTATGTGGTAAAGTATCAATAAAAATGGCTAATAAAAATAATAGAAGAAAAACCTGGCCCTGGTCATCTTATTGTCTGAGAAGAGGCAAGGAGAAGGTGCTTGGACATTAAAATACATAAAGACTCCTGTGCCATTAGGGGTCTCATGCCACGTGTATTTTAAAACTGTTTTTGTTTAATCACATTATGTCCTTCTGAAGTAGATGGTTTAGCTTGGGGTAAATACTACAGCTCCTTTGTATAAGGGCTGAATTTGAAGGGTTTATGCTTTGCAAACATGTGATTTTGCCTCTATTACCTTGTTTTGTGTTCAGGGGAAATTTTCAATGGTGAAAATGTGAACTTCGGATTTCTACTCTCAACTGAGCAGAAATAAATTCATACTTTGGAGTTGAACTTGCATTATGGGCACATCTAACTGGTGAATTCTGTTTGTTACCACAATCACTGCTTCCATCACTATCACCACCATTGCCACTACCACCATTCTCACGCCCTAAACCCCAGACAGAAAACAAAAGTGAGTACAAGAAATACATTTTCAACACTCACTGGTCTATCAAATTCTATGAAATTTGCACATCCCCTAGACTAGAGTATAAACTGGAGGGAATATGGGGACTCCTCAGCCCACCTCAATTCTCTGCCTCCTACAGTATGAACATTTCACTGTACTAGATATAATTATAATATTTATATATAGTACTTAAACATACTATGTAAATGTAGTCATTTTTAATTAAACAAGCTTTTTAGTTTTGCCTTTTAGATAAACGCAGTATCACGATCTAAATTCCAAGGTTAAGCTTCTGCTGCCTTCTGGTGGCTGCTGTAGTTATCGCATTCTATTTAACTCATCTCACAATGAATGAGAGAGTATAACCTCTAGGTCAAATGATATTACGGTTGGAAGGAACCTGATAAACTCTTGATTTAACAGGGGAAGAAACTCACACTTAGAAAAGAGAAATAAATTGACTGAAATTAACAGTATAGATGAATACTGAAGTCCAGAGTAGAAATATACTCCATTATCTCACGTTGTCATTCATTCATTCATTTATTCATTCCAAGGCTCTGTGTTGGGGCAAGGAGATATGAATAAAGAATAAGCCCTGAGGGTGC